TTATGATAAATAATATGAAAAATCAGTCAACTACATTTATATACATAAATATACATGACCATTGTATTATGCAATAAAATGAGTTTAGTTACCACTACTAATTACTGTCATTCTCTACGTCATTGTAAATTGTAAAACAAATTGTCACCACTTAGATTAAATAACCATTGCGTTTTAGTGTAACAAGAATAAATTAACAAGCTGATCAATAAAAAGAATTGAAATAATACAGTAATAATAGTAATAATAAAGACTAAGTATTGATGATTTGAATTAACAAGACGAAAGAAGAAAGTATGTATGTATAAAAAAGAAGGCACAATGGATTTCACGATAAGATCTAGAGAATGCTAATGAATAAATTTGTGTCAGTGTGAGTGATTCCGAGCCATGTTATCCATTTGTCTACAACAAATAATCTCAGTTGTCATGTAGACTCAAGTCACGTAATCTGCATTTACCAGCAAGTTTTAAATCAGTGTTCATCGAATTCAGAGACTGATGCAATAACTTGAGTTTCCTCCCCCCCCCCCAATTATGAACATTTCCTAGAATTTTAACTTTTTACTGAAATATATTTTATACGGTCTAACTAAGGACTAATGGATATGTAAAATGAACTATTTGGCATATTAAGATAGTTTTATCATTTTTTTTTTTGAATAACTGTACTGATAATTTCATCTTTTTTTTTTAAAATAAATCTTTATCCATTTACACTTAGCTGTAAGTATCTTACATGCATTAGACATTTTATGTATGTACTATTGTTAGTTTTTCGTCATCACATGATCAAACAATGATGTCATTATTTCAAAAAAGTATAATCTATGGAATTCTTGTTGTCAACTATTTTCAACTCTAAAGAAGTAATGTAATATGAGGACATACATTGAAGAAAACACTCGATTGCGTCACAAGACAAGTCTTCATCTGGATTCATCAACGCCAAAGGAAATGTCCAAAGAACACATTATGCTGAGAAATGGAAATAGACATGAGAAGAATGAACAACAACTGGACAGAACTAGAAAGGAAGGCGTTGGACAGAGTAAGTTGGAGAACAGTGGTCGGCTGCCCATACTCCATTACCAGTAACAAGCGCAAGTAAGTAAGTAAGTAAGTAAGTAATTAAGTAATATCATATAATATAGTATGACTATTAGTCTCAAATTAAAAAAGGAATGTGGGTTGTTTAGTTATATTTTGTAGAAAATAACTTACACTAAAAAATCATTTTATTATATCAAGTGTAGTGTTATCTAATCCATAATGATGATCAACTCTTATTGATTAAATTCTTATGTGATGATTAGTCTAAGAAACTGTGATACTCAATGATATTGATTCAAAATCTATGTGCAACATTCGGTGATTCTTGGTAACAGATTTACCTTTCTCATTAATGTTCATATGTAACAAACCTAATTTAGCATAAATGTAAATTAAGCGCTTGTTATCAGTCGGAAAATATATTAAACACTTTTGAAGCCAACGGTTAATTTAAAATGATTCTATAAAGATATTTGATAATATCACAATCTAATCTAAGTTGGACAACCATTCAATATTTGGAAGCAATGGTCAGTTATTTTGTTCGAGTATGAAGATATTCAAATAGTGCGCATCTATGACTCAACACTGGGGAAACTCATCAATATATCACAAAACTGATTCTTCTTCTATTTGGTTGATATTGGTTGTGTGGAGTGAGCAGTATTGGGTTTGAGTCCCGGAGTGAACATCATCTATGAAATGTAGGTAGATACAGCTACAGACTAGTCCCAGATAAGACGAGACACACATCCTGAATTCCACTGCTAGCCACTATACGACTCGGCTGATAATACTTTCATCGAAAACTTTGTATAACCGTTTGACTTAATTTATCAACATTCCGAAACATTTAATTAAAATCATTCAAACTGCCATGCATACATTATATCTATGTATACAGATTAAAGTTTTTGAATAAAATACACCGAAATGACTACTGATTAATTTTTTAAAAGTGTTTATGTGCTTTTTTAAGTTGATATTAGACAATGAATGATACAAAATTTATAAAGCGAATAATTTGAGACAATCAATGCGGGTCTCATAATACTACTACTACTACTACTACTACTACTACTAATAATAATAATAATAATAATAATAATAATGTAGGCTAAAACGTAGTAAACATGATATCGAACACTATGGCAAATTACTAATTATACATTTCCTTCCTTAATATCAACTGACCATTAGAAGATTGGATTGAAAAATTAATAGACCAGAGAATACTCTGTTCACACAGACATACAGTTATACTTATATATATATATATATATATATATATATATATGAAGCATTTTTCTCCCTCATAAATCTGTCCTCTCAACTTTCTTTCTAAACATATCATTGTTTACTTATTTACATTTTCGTTTCCTAGTTTATTTCATTTCATTGTGTTGTCTAAAATATTCTCTACACAGTCATGTAAACAAGACACAAAAAAATCTTCGCATTATTATATATATATATATATATATATATATATATATATATATATATAAATGAAAAATAACAACTAAACACATGAAGTAAACATTCATTGAATAGATTAAACGAAAGAAAATGTCTATTCTTCAAGTATGTTTTTCATATGAGACAATCAGATATTATCGAAAATATTGACAATATTAATATGGTAGTAGTAGTAGTAGTAGCATTCACGATATTGTTGTATGTGTGTATGTGTGTTTGAAAGTGGAATATTTATCAATTAGACTAACTAGATAGTATGTGACTCATGATAAATGATAATGCCATCAATTAGCTCAGGAACCATGTAATTAAACCGGTTTGATTGGAGACATTTTTTGCACAGTTCACTAGTTCGTCTGCCAGTATGGAATAGTGCTTGATAGTAGTAGTACTTGATTTCGATGTTCATTATTAAGGGTGTTAGCGTTTTGTCACATAGATGACATGGCTTGATGTACCGTAAGCGAATGGAACCTTGATAGATTTAGTTAACCCAGTTAGGAAGCATAAATCCAGTGTTCTGGATTCCATCCGATGAGAATGTTAGTAATATATTTTGACTACTTTAAACAACCATATTCTCTGAATATGGTATCCATCAAAATGTAAACACAACACATCAATAGTTAGCACAGTAAGTACGTACTGATAGTCGAAATTCAGATAATTACTTCTGGATAATTAGATGTATACTGTTTTTGAGAATCAAAACTGATTGATCTGTGAGAGAGTTTATAATTTCATGTATAACTACATGTGATTAATATTTTAAAAGCCAATCAATTAGAGATAAAATAACGTGAAACAGAAAGGGTCCTACAATATTACTGTATGCATAAGATAAAATCGAACATAAAAAATGATATAGATTTATCAACTGTGCAATTCTGTGTAGCGAAACTGTGTAGTAGAAAATTTGCAAAAAATCGTATCATTAGACAACTTTGACATAAATTTAATCATGTTTGAAAGGAATAACATCAGTTTTACAACTGTTTGATGAGAAGGAATTTTTGAGTCCCCTGTTCAACTTCAGTTTTTTAGTTCAGATTATATTTGCTACTAGTGAGTCGATTTCAGTAGCCAATGAACATTATACATTTCAAGGATCATTTTATTTTCAAAATTTTAGACAACACAAAGGTAGTAATTGTCTTAACTACCAACTCATTTATTACAACTCTCTTTTGCACACTCAAAAACAACCCTCTATGAAATGAATATTGTGATCATTTAAATGACAGTAAACTAGACAAATTAATATGTAACAAAATTAACTGAACTAGTTATATTGTTGATTGGCAGTTAACTTACTAAAATGTCAGTAAGAGTTTAATATAGAGAAGAGGCAATGAGAATGAGAATTTTTCCATTTTTGCTTATAATTCAACTATTAACTATGGTGAGTAGTAGAAACAGGTATGTATACTCCTCAGGATGTTAAAAATGATAGTGTAAAATTATTTTTTTTATTGTAATGTAGTAAACATGATATTGTTGATTACATCAAATGTTTAATTCCGTCTCTATGACTTTCATATAACAGGCAAATTAACATTATCCAGAAATTATAACCTTGAATTTTTAATTCTGTAACAAACCTTAACTTAGTGGTACGAAATTTTTATAAAATAACTAATCATTATATTATAGTCATTGTCAATTAGAGATAAAAATCCTAATCATAAATGCCCTAATCTTAATCAAGAACAATGCAGTGAATTATAAAAATCTGTTTGAATTCTTTTAAAGTTTAAAGTAGGTGATTAGTTTATAACAATTTAACTTATAGAGATAAATAATGATAATGGTTATTTATCTGATTTATAAGCACCATCAATGTTGAGTAGGTATCACTTTCAATTTCTCATAATCGAAAACTACATTCAATCCGTGGAATTCTAACTAAAAATCGTATATTGTATTATGTGGTTTTAGCTGAGTTGAGCATAAAAATTATCCTTTTTCATAGATATTTTTATGAATAAATAGAAAATCTTGAAGATAAACTTTGGGTTCTTTTTTCAACTCATTGATTGTAGCCAATGATGTAATTTATGCTTTCATGTTTGCATCCAGAATAAGAATAAAAAGGTAAATCATAAAATAATAATTATTAATTGAACTCAAAAAGTTTTTATCGGCACTATTCAGTCTAGAAACTCAATTAGCTGTGAATTGTTTTTACGCCTGTTGCCACTGGTGGAGCTTAGGCCACTTTGATCAAGCTTTACTTTCCAATATTTCTCAATGGCTATTCATTCTTTTTCATGTCTGCCTTCCAATCACAATATGTTCTTCAATCGATCGTTTTTTTCCTTTCATCTTGATATTATAACTTGAAGTGACAGTTTGGCAGAGATTCATTCAAACACAATTCGGCATAATTATAAAAGTTGTTCACAAATGGATACAATTTAAATGTCAATTTTTTTTTAATACTAGAACCCTAGTATACCTACCACTTTATGAATATCATTTTGTGTTTAATTCTACATGTAACCATTTTTAAAATGGTTAATTTTTGTTAGTTGAATTCAATTTTATGGGGTTTCATTTATTGTACCAAATTTACTAAGTGGAAACATAAAATTACTATTCTCGAACATATTAATGCTAATAAAGGAATTGGTCAAGTAAGTGATTACTTTTCTCGCTCACAATATATACATATATATAATTTTTATGTTGATAGTAACAAATTCTCGTCACGTTTCATATTCATATGCTTATATAAATAATTCTACAAGCAAAAGCCTTGTGTGCATGTCTGTCCATCACTCAGTATATGATATCGAATGCCTGTCTATTTGTCACACTATCGTTTATCTACTTTCAGCCATTTAAACGCTTATGATGCGAAATATGCAGGCGTTGAAACGCCTGAGTGTTATATGCTTTGTTGCATATGTTTTGCTTCTTCGAATTTTTGATATTTACTAACGTGAACTAATGCATGAAATAAAGTCATCCATCTGAATTTAGCCTGTTATTATCGTTGTTGTATAAACGTGGTCAACTTAAGTATCATATACCGAATTGAATTCAGGAATGATTTACAGGACGTATGCTGCTGTTTGTCTAAAATCGAAGAGTCACTAAAATGGCTATTGCATGTTATTGGTCTTTTTCTTTCAAGGAATATGTTAAAGTTGAAAACTTTCGAAGATAATAAATTTGAATTAAAAATATTTTTGTTAGTTTTTCCTCAATATTAAAACGAAATTTCAATGACAAATGATAAAAAATATTCTATGAAATTTTAAGTTGGAATATTTATCAGTCATCACAAACACATCAACATGTTTAATTCATTGTAACGAATAGTAACGAATATGCTTTGATTATTAGTCTGATTGTTAACTGCATAATTAGTGTCTTCAAATAAATCCATCAGTATTTCTGTGGTTTTGATTTTCAATTGTTTTTGTACTCTTGTAACATGCTTTCTGTTGAAATTTGGTTTGTTTTTTGGACTGTTTTATGAATTTTCACAAAGAAGAAAAGAAAATTAAGAAGGTATATTTTTTTATAAATTATGATGAGGTTGGTTATAAGTAATACACATTGGAGACTCGCCTGGAAGTTTCCGGAGTCAATGGCTGAAAACCCAAGATTCAGGAAATCAAGCGCATGGCATATATGAAGAACTTGGGACTAGAACAGGAATCAGGGGAAGCACAACTAACGCTTAGTTGAATTGAGGAAACATGCAAATAGAGGGTAAAGATCGTTTACTGACTTTGTAAACAAATTATGTTTTCTTCAAGTACATAACTATTCCATCCAGGTTTAACTTCTTCCTAAATTACAAGTATAAAGGTCATATATATAAACTTATATATTAACTAAGAAACAACAACGCAAATGTGAAGATAGTTCTGTATCGCGTGGAAACTTGGGGAAATACATAGTCCAAAATCCAGAAGATGCAAGTGTTTATAACCAGTTGTGTACAAAAAATACTGTGGATCCTTTGGCAAGATACTATCAACAGCTACCTACTATGATAGAGAACAAACCAGACGAAGAAATCGCGCAGAAGTAGATTGGAAACACATTGAGTAAATCATCCAACTGCGTCACAAGACGAGGGTTTCCTCATATGGGATCCTCAAGGCCAAAGGAAAAGAGGAAGGCCAAGGAACACATGACGCAGAGAAATAGAGAAAGATATGAGAAAAATGAAAAAAAAGGACTGAACTGGAAAAAGAAGCCCAGGACAGAGTAGGTTGGAGAAAACTGGTGGGCGGCCTATGCTCCATTGGGGGTAACAGGCGTAAGCAATTAAGTAAGTAAGTAGTTGACTGCACTTACACAACATCATAATGCGATACATGGCACATGAAACCACTTAGAGTATGTGTTAAGTTGTAAAATGATCGACATAATAAGATCAACAATAATAATGACTAGATCAACATTAGATCGGTTACTAATAAATATACACATATTGATTATTTTGGACAAATGTGTATCAGCAAACTTGACTAGTTTCAATCGATGCACTATCAGAAGGAAATACTGACAAGATGAGATTTTATTGTAATATTCCGTCAAATTCTTTGCGAATATGAATATCAAGGTTCCAGTGAGTTACCTTTGAATAACATTACTATTCATCAATAACTCAGTAAACTGTGAAATGAGTAGCCTGATGATCAATGAATATTTATTGAGTTCTGTTACAAGTAAGTGACTCACAACTGTAACCGTATTTTCCTCGTTATTCAGTTTATTTTCAAATCATTACCGATAGTTAGATTTTTATAGATTTGAATAGGTTATAATGAATAAGATAATCTTTTAAACAGACACATTCTTTTTGATAAGTTCTTTACATTCCACTCTTGACCTCACTCCCCTATCAATTTTCAATTTTCAGTTCGGTTGAAACACTCGTGTTTTTTTTTGTTGAAAAAGAAAAGAATCCTTCTGCATTTACAATTCTCCTCTCATTTTTCAATTGACAATGTTACATTCAGTAAATTGATTATTTGTGTATTTGCATTATCATTTAAAATCTTGTTTTTACAAATTTTTATTTGTTCATTTCTCTCGTTCATGAAATACAAACAGACAACCACACACACACACACACGCATGTATTGTAACAAAAGTACAAACCCACAAAGGTATTCACAATTGAAACTGTTAAGTACAGCAGGACAAAGAAAATACGGTGACATATGATTAGATTTAAAAATACACATGACTGATAAAATATAAACTATTAAAACATTTCATGATCAGTTTTATTGTTGAAATTGAAACAGAAATCACTAGAGGGAGAACATGTATAGTTTTCAATTTAAACTGACTATGATCAACTGAATGTTTTAGTTTGTTTGTCTAAGGGTGATCGAATGATCACCACACTAATGATTATATGTAACTGATTTGAATATGATTCATGCAAATATTCAGTTTTCGTTTTTATTTTTAGATGGAATCGTCGAAATTGTCATAATGATTCATAACAAAATTAAATGAGGTTTACATTCTTTCTTCATGTATATATTCATCATTTTCTGTCTAACATACTTTGTTGCATGTTCGTATTGGTTTATATGAAGCATTTTTGATGGGATACAGATCATTGAGGAAATATATTAACAAAAAATTCTTTTGAATCAGATAAACATTTTGAAGAGAAAACAATACCAACTATAACATTGTTTTTATATATATATATATATATATATATATATATATATATATATATATATATATATATATATATATATATATATATATAAGCAAAATAAACTGATCATTCAAAGTAATCTACAAGGCAGTGCCTATATTAAAAGTAGTGAACTATATCATCCTGGTTAGATGGTTGATGCTTTATTCATCTTGAAATTTGTACTCCAGCTTTTTTTATCAAGTTAAATAAGCACTTGTTTGCTGAGGCCACAAATTGTTTTTCTCTCTTAAACTGCTGAAGTTTTACTTCTAACGAATTTATTATTATTTCCCGGTTCTTCGTGATTATGATCAGTATGGGGTTGTGGGGTTTGATGAATTTCACTTAAATATTTAACCAACCAATGTTAGATCATGACTGAAAATCCATAATCATTGCACTACCATTTCGGCTTAGTTTCCTGGCAGTGCACGTCCCGGTCCTTCAGTTAGAATTGTGGTCAGTGGATTTCAAATCATATTTAGATATGAGATAGTTAACGACCGCGGGCAGACGAAGATGGTTTTGAAATTTGTGGAATTTATTATAGTTAGGCACTGTGGTCTAGAGGTTAAGCATTCACATGCGAGACCGAAGCCCCAGGGTTTGGTTTCGGATGTGGATTCATGGATGCGCACCACTGAGCGGCCCGTTACTAGGATGAAACTGCCATCTACTGGTTCTAGCTTTTCAATGGCAGTCTAACTTTGATCGGTTCATGGTTCCAATGAAAGTTGATGATTATGTTTCGTTTTGATCTCAGAATTCTTCTTATCATGTTAGACAACTCATTTCCATAATTAAAAATCTTTATGACATAGTAAATAATTTTTGAATATAAATTATTCAACAAGAATAATTTGAGATTTTGAAGGGAGAAGTAGGTTTTGATGAGACATCTATATGAGTAATCAATAATGTTTTTATTTATTTGCAATAGTTTATCAATTACTCTGATCTGTGAACAATTAGGGGGCGTCTACTTAAGATAAACATGTTCCAGGAATGATAGACGACTCAAAAAAACTAGTCCTCATAAAATTTCAATTTGAAAATCTCTCAAGAAATAGAAGTAGAAGAGAAAAGACAATACCAAGCGAAGAATGGAACTAATGAATCAGATTGGTGATTTAAGACAAATTAGAAAGGTGGCCTATAACTTGTTTACTTGTCAAAACTTCAATTTGCTAAAAAGCACACTGGAACAAAGCAGATACCGACTCAGTGGTCCGATGGTTAGGCGTTCGCCTACAATACCGAATGTCCTGGGTTCGGATCCTGAGGGATGCAGGAGTCGTGGATGCGCACTGCTGAGGAGTCCCATACCAGGACGAAACGGCCGTCCAGTGCTTCCAGGTTTCTAATGGTGGTCTAACATTGATCGATTCACGGTTTCAAAAATGTGTTACTTAACAATCTTGACAACCCCGTATTTCATATTTGTCGAAATATCATAATATTTTTATTTCCCCAAGGTGAGTTCACATTTTTTTTAAAAAAATGCTAAATTATTGCATTTACAGTTTCGTTCTCGAAAATCCCTACCATTTTAAATCATTCAATGCTAGTTGAGTGATCAAGAGGTTAAGAGTTCGAACACGAGGCTGAAGTTTCCGAGGAGTCCCATACTAAAATAAAATAGTTACATAGTGCTTCCAGGTTTTCAATGGTGGTCTGATTTTAATTGGTTTATGATTTTAATAAGAATTCAACAATATCCACAATTGTTCACTGACAGAAATAATTATCAAAGAGAATTGTGTGGTTGATTAGTTTGTTTACATTTAATGTAAATTAATTAGATGATATGTTTATGACATTTTATAGAATCTGTAACTGCTTAATAATAACAATCAATTAATCATAAATGTAATATTTAATTATGCGTTAAAAAAATATTTTGGATGTGAAATTAAATTTTACACGTTAGTAATCATATTCTACTCA